TTCCCTCCCTCCCTCCCTCCCTCCCTCCCTCCCTCCCTTTCTCCTCCCTCCCTCCCTCCCTCCCTCCCTAACGCCACATCGTTCTCCCCCACCTTGCGAAGACGTTTCGGGACGGATCTTGGCAAGCAGGAGAGGTTGCAGAGGTCGGAGGTAAGACCTTCCTCGCTGCCCTCGACCTCCGTCCTCCCCCTCTCCTCCTCCACTTGGCCCTCGAGCATCTTCCTCGCTCTCTGGATCAGGAGGGAGGGAGAAACAACACGGACGAGAATCTGTCGAAGATAATCCTGCGACAAAGAGGACGGAGAAAACCTCGTAAGAAGAAGGAGAACGAGTGAAAAGTCTTGCCTTGGAGTTGTCCCGCTCGTCTTTCTTAAACGAAAAGTTCTTGATGACAGCAATCTTGTTATACATGTACCTTGATGACTGTGAGATGGAAACGTAACAGAAACGCATTGAACACAAACCTCGCATGCGTCTCATTCTTTCCTCCGAAGAAATGAAGAGCTTCTTGAAAAAACGCTCTTCCATCCATGTTTGACTTCCTGCTCGCCATTCTCTGTGGATGGATCAAAATAGGATGATGGTGATGGTGATGGTGATGGTGGTTGTGATGATGGTAGTGGTGGCGGTTGTTGATGATGATGATGATGATGATGTTGTTGTTGTTGTTGATGATGATGATGATGATGACGACGACGACGATGATTGCAATGATGATGGCAATGATGATGGCAATGATGATGATGATGATGATGATGATGACGATGACGATGATGACGTCAGCGGCACTGGTGGTACAAGTATCCATGACAAATGTTGTGATCAAAGTTCGACAATGAAGGAAATGAGAGAAGAGGGCAAACACAAGGTTGTGGTAGGATTGGTATTGCGGTCACCAGGAACTTTTGCCTTGTTGTCTTGTAGCCCATGTTTGTATAATGCAAGATGTAAGGGCCCTCGAACACAGCCAAGTTGTTCGTTGAGTTACTGACAGCCCCAAACCTGCAGAGAGGAGAGGAGAGGAGAGGAGAGGAGAGGAGAGGAGAGGAGAGGAGAGGAGAGGAGAAAGGAGGGGAGGGAAGCGAGGAGGGAGGGGGAGGGGAGAGCAGAGCAAGTGAGAAGCAGGAAACAACAGCGAACTACTTTGTGCCTAACCTCGCAAATAGAGTAACGTCCCTGGCCGTCACTCCCTCAATCGGTCGGACAGCAGCTTTACCAACCTGAGAGACGCGTGAGAGGAGTAAAGGGGAAGAGGAGGCAGAAGGAGGAGGAGTGAAGGAGAAAGAACACAAGGAAGGGGAGGAGCGGCAAGAAAGTAGGAATGGAAGCAAGGAAAGGGGCAGGGAGAAAAGGGACAAAGGGCAAAGAGGAGAGAGGGAGAGAACAAGGTAAGAGGAGATTGGAAAAATAAAGAGGAAGAGTGAGGGGAGAAAAGGACGCATGCAATGGACAGGGAAGGAGGGGGCGTTGTTGGTGGTGTTGGTGGGAGGGGGCGAGGAGGAGGAGAAAGAGGAGGAGAAGGAGAAGGAGGGGGGGAGGGGGGAAGTTTATACCGAGTAGCCCATGAAGTGATAATCATGGAACTGCTTGTATGTCCTGATCAGCTTTCTCGCCTCATCATGCTCGTAGACGTGAGGGTTCCGCTTGAAGAGCGTTACGCTCTCAAAGAATGGCTCCGACGGCTCCTCCTCCTCCGCCATCGCCTCCATGTTGAGGTATACCGCCTGCCAGGATAGCTCAGGATACACGCTCTCCTGCTCCTGCTCCTGCTCCTGCTCCTGCTCCTGCTCCTGCTCCTGCTCCTGCTTCCGCTGCTGCATCTGCAACTCCTTCCTCCCTCTCATCGTCTCCAACTCCCAGCAGACCTCCAGCAGACCTGGTAGATGTTCTTCTTCGAGCTGAGCATTTCAAAGTGAGGCCTCGCATCCAGCGCCGGGGTGAAGAAAAGTTCGTCCCCGTCAATGTGCAGGAGCCAAGAGATTTTCTTCTTCCTCGCTATCCCCACCGCTACCTCCGCGTTCAAGATTTGACGGGCCATCTGGTCGTCCAACTTTTGTCTGTATTCGGCAAATATAGTCAGGCTCTCCCACTCTTTTCTCAGCCTCTCATCGTGTCTTGTGATCAAAACTTCGCCCCAAACTGCTTCGCCACCATCTCAGAGGTGGCAGCGGACAGATCGTCCGACGGGTCGTCAAGGAACAGTAGGACGAGTGAGAAGCCGATGCTAAAATGGTAGGATAGCCACGACTGCAGTACATCCTTGGAAGGGTTCTTCATCGTAGAGCATATGGCAAGGACGAGGTCATCTTCAGATGTACCGGCTGGTAAACAATCAGGACAGGCAGGTACACCAATCACACATCTCACCTGATTCCTTGGACTGAACATCCTGCGCCTCCTGCTCGTCTTTCATTGCACCATTCTGCTTGGAACTGCTCCCTTCTCCTCCTGCTGCTCTTCCTCTTCCTCTTTCGCGTCCTCCACTTCCTCCTCCTCCTCCACTTCCTCCTCCTCCTCCTTCTCTTCCCGCCTCCTCCTCCAGCCTCTTGATCTCGTCTCGCAGTCGAGCCGCCTCCTCGTATCTTCTCCCCGCCACCGCCTCCTCCTTAGCCTGCCGCAGCTCCTCCAGCTTCTCCTGCACCTCCCTCATCGCCTCTCGACTTGTCTGACCCTGTTGCTCGGCGACTTTGCCTGCGTCTTCTGCTCCCTTCCCTTTGCTGCCACTACCCAGAGCTCCACCGTTCATCTCTGCTCCTGCAGCTGCAGCTCCTCCTCCTCCTCCTCTGCCTCTCCGCGCCAGGATGTCTTCCAGCCTCTTGATCTCGTCTCGAAGTCGAGCCGCCTCCTCGTATCTTCTCCCCGCCACCGCCTCCTCCTTCTCCCGCTGTAACTCCTCCAGCTTCATTTGTTCGACCTCTGGAATGCGCCCTCCCTCAACTCTTGTTCCTCCTGACTTCAGTGCGTGTGCTTTTCCTGCTCCTCCTCTATCATTATCTCCTTCTCCACTTCTTCCTCCTCCTCCTCCTTCTCTTCCCGCCTCCTCCTCCAGCCTCTTGATCTCGTCTCGCAGTCGAGCCGCCTCCTCGTATCTTCTCCCCGCCACCGGCTCCTCCTTAGCCTGCCGCAGCTCCTCCAGCTTCTCCTGCACCTCCCTCGTCGCCTCTCGACTTGTCTGACCCTGTTGCTCGGCGACTTTGCCTGCGTCTTCTGCTCCCTTCCCTTCTCCTCCGCTACGTCTTCCTCCATCATGTCCTCCGAACATTCCTCCTCCTCCTCCTCCTCTGCCTCTCCGCGCCAGGATGTCTTCCAGCCTCTTGATCTCGTCTCGAAGTCGAGCCGCCTCCTCGTATCTTCTCCCCGCCACCGCCTCCTCCTTCTCCCGCTGCAGCTGGACCAACGTGGGTTCCTCATTCTCATCCTCCCTCGCCTCTGCCTGTTGCACTTCAAGATCTCCTTGTAGCTGCCGTTTCACCTGCCATGTCTCCATCATCTACCTCGTCACATCTTGACGTCTCGTCGGACTTTGTCAACCTCCTACCTGATCATCGTGCCCTGCGCCAAAGCTCTTGCACGTCTCGCCATCGCATGCTCGCCCGTGGTCTCCGTCAAGGTCTCCTCCTCGCGCGCCTGTCGTGCCGCTGAAGAGCACGACGCTGGCGAGGAGGAGGAGGCACAGCAGGCGGCCCATGTCAAGACCTGAAAACTCACAGGTGAGCTGTCGGGATCAGAGAGTCAGGGCATGTCCGATGATCTGAGCATGTGCGAAGCGATGAACACTCTGCCGCGGCATCACTGTGCCATGGAAAGTGCAAAGGAAGGAGTGAGGACGTCGCAGCGATATCGTGAGAGGGATAAGGAGGAGAACGCAAGAACCATGCGGAAGCTGGAGGGGAATTATCAGGGGAGTCAGAATGGTCACATGGCAAAGAAGCAAAGGAAGACTCTATCGGTAGGAGCGTGGGATAGAGAAGGAGAGGAGAGAAGAGAGGGAGCGGGAGAGACAGAAGGAGAGGGAGAGGGAGAGGGAGAGGGAGATGCGGAGGTGGAGGTGGAGGTGGAGGTGGAGGTGGAGGTGGAGGTGGAGGTGGAGGGAGGAGGGGGAAGGGAGGAGGGAGGAGGCAGAAGGAGAGGAGGGGAGAGGAGGAGGCAGGAGGAGAAGGGAAGAGGACTCCGAAGCCTGATGATTGCGGCACCGACATCATTTTAGTGATTTTGTCACCGCCAACTCGCCTCTGGGGCTCAGTGGCACCGTGCAGTGCCGGGCGGCCGGCTGAGGCCCCGGCCCGGGCCGGCGGGCCCGCCGCCGAGTGCCGCGCGGTACCGTACGGTCGGTCTCCGAGGCTCGGCCCGGGCCCGCCACCGGTGGGCTGTAACGGTCGGACTCGCCGAGTCGCTGACAGTGACGAGACTCGGGGCCCCGGGACCGTGACGGTCCCGCCGGTCCCGGACGGTCCCGGCGGACTCCGCCGCGGCGCCCTCCGGGGGCCGCCCGGCGTGAGTGCCGGCGGCGGCGACTCAGCGACTGAGTTTGCCGCGCCGTGACTGGCGGTCACGGCGTGTCGGACTGTCCGACCGTCAGACGAGTAGACTGAGAGGAGGTGACGGTTGCGGCTCAGCACACTGAGCGCTTCAGGCTTCCTGTGCCGGTCACAATCAGTGGTGGCTGGCGGAGTGGCTCGCCGCCGCAAAGACTCGAAGGAAACGGCAGCGCTGGATGGTCTCTCGGCCTCGCAAGACGTCTCAGGTGATCCGATGGCTGACTGACTCGTAAACGCATCCGGTCCACGAAAGATCAATGATCCTAGCACGGCAGTGTCAGGATCTTTCGTCAGCTCAAGGTCTCCCTGTCAGTGCGTCTCACTCCTTCGTCGGCAGCCACTGGCAGCGACATCGCTGGCCGGGCATGGCGCGGGGTCGGCTGCCGGCGACCGCATCGCGCGGACAGTCAATCGGACTACCGTACGGTCACTGCCGCGCGGCCGTGCAGTGAGCGGATATGAAGTGAGGCTAATTTCCTAGATATGCAGAAGCTTCTCATCTCGTTACTGAGCCGAATACAGCCTCGCCGCTCGTTTGCCCGCCTCTCCTCCTCGTCGTTGAGAGGTCCAACTCGATCAGGGAGAAAGAGGTATAGGAGAGGCAATGACCCTTGAAGAATCTTGTTGTTTATAATAATGCTCCTCATGATAATGTAACTCTCCACCAACTCTCCTCCTTGCTCCCGCTCCTACTGTACACATTTCACCTCTCCTCATCAGAGCTCCAGTACGTCGCCGCATGCGCCAATTATTATCCTGTGCTCCCGGATCATGGCAATGCTTGCCTGCAGGGCTTCGAGCTGCTTGGCGCGAGGAGGGTTCAGAGAGTATGGAGCAAGAGGAGGGGGTGAGCGAGAGAAGGCGGACTCGGAGGACGGGGCCGAGGAAGAGGGGGAGCTTATGGAGACAGCGGGAGGATGGGAATGAGGAGAGAGGGAAGAGGGGTGGGAGTGTGTATCAGGAGTCATAGCCAGCAGGGGCAGGGCGGGGCAGGCGGGGCTTGTCTATGAGGAGGAGGTGGAGAAGGAGAAAGAGGAGGAGGAGGAGGAGGAGGAGGAGAAGGAGAAGGAGGAGGAGGAGGAGGAGGAGGAGGAGGAGGAGAAGGAGGAGGAGGAGGAGGAGGAGAAGGAGGAGGAGAAGGAGGTGCAGGAGGAGGAGAAGGAGGAGCAGGAGGAGGAGGTGCAGGGAGGATATCCCGGAGGGGAGTCACTGAGTTCTGGTCACGAGGGAGTCCCCCAAATGGCATCCTTATGTGCTGCCCCAATCCGTCCTCCGACAAGAGACTATGATAAGTACTAGTAATCAATTTCTGCCCTGCGAATTGGGGAGAAGTTTTTGCTAGGGCAAATCGAATTTGCATCTGTTGACATTTAGATATTCTCGGCTGCTGACCGGCACATGCACGGTCACGGTGTCACATGGTCAGCAATTCAGTTTATCTCCCTGGCGTTGTCTTTACTACTGCAGTGCAGTTATTGTTCTCAAAAGCGGCTGTATCCTGATCGGACCCGGGAGCCTCGGAGCCCTCAGTTGACCCAATTCACGGAGCCTCACTGCCGCGGCGCGGCCCGCCGTGCCTCAGAGGCGGCGGACGGAGTCCCGGGAGCCTGAGAGTACCGGGAGTCAGTTCCGAAGTTCCCCGGAGGCTGAGTGACCGGAGTCCGGTGACTCGGACCGTGCGGTCCCGCTGCGGCGAGCCTAAGAGGGTGCGGCCCATCATGGCACTGCCGGCGGCATGATGATGCTCGGACTCCGAGTCCCGGGCGGAGGCCCTGTATTCGCGATAACCGTCCGACAGTGACTGAAAGTTCTTTTTCAGTCAATAAACGAAAGTTTCAAAGTTTCATAGTTTCAAAGTTTGGTGTCCTGTGCGCTCCCCAGATTCTTTGTTCCATGGCAGCCTGGAAATTAGTTGCCGTCCCCACCTCGCAACCTCTGCCCCCCCC